GATATAGGAAATATATTTTAATTAATAATTCTAGTAATTTTATTATTATATAAAAATATAGTTAGAAATTTTATTTTTTCTGTTAATTTTATTAAATATCAAATTCTTAGAAGATGGTGTTTATAATTTTCAAAATTATAAGAAAATAATTCATATTTTAAACAAATATTAAGGATTATATTTGTAATTTCCAAAGAAATACAAATATGCGTTGAATGTTGAGAAAAAATTTTCTCTGGTCCGATTATGCCCAACATCCAACACATATATGATAGAGACTGTCTCAGGAAAAGAATAAAGGTTCATTTAGGAAGTGGCTATTTTAGTTTTGTTTTTTTTTTTAGTAAAAATATAAGATAAAAAATAATAAGGAAAAAATTTGACTTACAAAATAAGTGTAGAAAGTAGGGTGAATGAGAACAAAATTTTGACTTTTTTCATATGAGTTGAAATTTTTTTCTTTTTATTTTTTTAATGAGTTTTTAGCTGAAATTTGAATTTGTTCACACACTAAAAAAGTGTGACCAATATATAAAATATGATTGATCTAAATATGTAAACTTTATATCTAGAAAATATAGTGTGTGTTTGGTTTTGTTTTGAGATAAAGTTTTAAAAAAAAATTGAGGAAGAGTTTAATTTTTTTTTTTATTTATTTAGTTGTATATTTTAAAAATAGTTTTGGAGTTTGGGAGCTTAGGATGATTTGATATTTTCTTGTATATGTGTGAGAGAAAAAATAATTGAAAATGAGAGAGGAGAGATAAAAAATGATTGATTGATGTGTAATAGAGAGAGAAATGATTTTGAATTTTTTTAAAAAAAATTTATAACAAAACATGTGTAACGCCCTCAAAATAATAACATTAATCCCATCAATTTAAACATGCATTGATATAAGAGATAAACATCATTCTATTCATCAGAGTAATTCTTTACAAAAGCATTACATGTTAACAACAAAAGGGCTTACAGTTTTCCAAGTTAACACTTGGTTACAAAGAGGAGAGTACTAACTCAAATACACATTAAGCCCTTGGCTTGAAATTACATGTAATACAACAAAGATAACACAACCACAAACTTCTGCCCGCCTCTAGCCTCTCAAGCTATGTCCTTGGAGGTGGCATGCTTCATGTACCTGAAAATGGTGTCCTATGTAGGGTGAGTCATAGCCCAGTAGAAATACACTAAACCAACTATAAGCAATGACTAAAAGATTTGCAGTTGATAGATGGTCAACACTTGTACACTCGTTTACCTCACATTACTATTCCATGACATTCGTGTCCGTGTTATAATTCACTTTCCATTTCTTATTCAACTTAGAGTTTGAAAACAAGGCTCAGTGCCCTAGCCAAATCATTTGATGAGATCATAATTCCCCACTAGAACACTTTCAAAATTCGTGATGGATATACATGTTGGTGTCATATCTAAGTCAAACAAAACATTTCCATATTTCTCAACGATATACATTTTAGTGCTATATCAAATCAAACAGACAATTCAATATTTCACGAATGATAATGATATACATTTTAGTGCTATATCAAATCAAAACAAACAATTCCATATTTCACGAATGATAATGATATACATTTTAGTGCTATATCAATTCAAAACAAACACTTCCATAAGTCTCAAATAATACACATTGTAGTGCTGTATTAATGAAACAAAAACACTTATAATTCGCAGCCTGATACACATTGTAGTGCTGTATCACTGTCACAAAATTCGGTTTAGAGGTTCAGCCCCTTTCTTCCAATAAACCGTGGAGTACAGCCCCTTTCTCCTCCCACACAATACGATGTATATAAACAATTATCATATACAAAATTCAACCTATCAATACAACATTTTGATGTATTAAACCAATTGCCATGTTCATTAGCATACTCAATAGATTAGCTTTAGTTTGCCTAATCATCATACGTTGCCTACAACAATCAAGACTATCCTCCACCGATAGTCTAATACAGTTATTTCTAAATAGGAAATAAATGCACCAATTTGATATATTATCAACAGTTTAACTAGGTGAGCGATAAGTGAGTCCAACTACACCCTTTAACCCCATATCTTTCTAATTTCAATATTTCCTATTCAATTTCTCAATTCCCTAAATTTCTTGTACAAATTAATTTATCAATATAATTAGGGCTTTACCCATAATCTACATAACAACACTAAGGTTCCATTTTCTTCAATAGTTCAACATTAGTCTCATTTCTCTTTATCAAACATGCATATAGGTTTACATATAACAAACCCCCATCTTTTGTAAAATTACACAAAGACCCAAACTTTCTCAAAAATACCCAACAACCCTCAACATATCAAAATGCTAAAATTCAAAGACAAAACTCATAAGGAGGAGTAGGATATCCATACCTCAAATTCGGAGCTCAAAGGGAGAAGATGACGAAACCCAAAGTGCTCCAAAACTCAATATGCTCGGATCAAAACGTAGCCCTCGACAATCAACACAACTTTTGTAAAGGCTAAAGGTGAGGAAATCACTCCTATTAGATCAATACTTAGAGAGAAGTTGAGTTTTAGTGAGAGAAGCTCTCAAATGGATTTTTCGGAAAAGTAAGAGAGAGAAAGGATGTTGAAATGTGACTAAAAAATGCACAGCTGCCAACTGATATACGCATGATCCGCTCGAGCAGAGAATAGAACGCTCGAACGTCAAGCACAAAAACTGGAACCGCTCGAGCGCCAAGACACAAGAACAAAATACATCCGCTCGAGAACGAAAACCAGTTCGCTCGAGCGTAGATTACCCCCTCTCAGAACTTTTGTAGACAATGAACACCCCACTCGAGCGCCAACAGACCCGCTCGAGCGTGAGAAAACCCGCTCGAGCGTGAAAAACACATCTGCAGAAGTTTTGCAGAGGCACAGATACTGGAAGTGTGAAAACTCCGCTCGAGCGCAAGAATATCTGCTCGAGCGTACCACTAAAGAAACGAACTCCGCTCGAGCGCAGAATCATCCGCTCGAGCGTAACACCAAAAACCTGGGCAACAACACTAGAGACCAAAACTCATCCTACCAGTTCGAAACACGCCCGACACATCCTAAAACTCAAACATAGAGAATTAAAGGATGTCAACAAGATATATAACTATCAACCCCACGAAACCTAAGTCCGGAACACTGTAAATAAAGAGAGGAAAACCGGAATCGCTATAACATGTATTTAAAATTTTCTTTCAAAACGCAAACCAAACATATCCCTAGTGTCCATCTAAACTGTAATGACCCCCACAAAACCTAACAACACTTTAATGTGGATAGGAGATAAACCTCACCTTGAGTTTAAAACCATGGTCAAGTGGGTAGATTACAAAGTAAGATGGAAGGAATTGTTTGAAAAAAAATTTAAGGTTAAAAGGTAGAAATATAAGTTCAAGCTATTTATTTTATATAATTATATGAAGCAATCTAAAACAATTCTGAAATTATCATTTTTTTAAATATCTATATTGTACAAATTTTAAATTCTATGGAGACTTATTTATAAGTCCTTTTTCAGACACTTATGGTAGGCTAAGTCCTGTGTAATTTCTTATAGAGTCTCAAGTCCTATTTAGATAGGAATGTATTCTACAAGATCCTACATAAACGTAACGTAACGTGACACCTATATAAACGTAATGTAACGTGACACTTACATAAACGTAACATGACACCTACAAAAACGTAACGTAACGTGTCACGTTACGTTTTGCAAACTTAATGTGTTTTTATTTTTTTAAATTGAATGTGAAAATATTGCTAGTTTATGTTGATGTCACGTTACGTTTCATATAAATATGATCTATGGCAACGTTTGCATGTTGCCATAGATCATAAGTGTCACGTTACGTTTGCATGTTACCATATATCATAGGTGTCACGTTATGTTTATGTAGGTGTCACGTTACGTATAGGTGTCACATTACGTTTATGTAGGAATCACGTTACGTTACATTTATATAGATATTATGATCTATACTAGCATTCAATTTCCTATATATGATTTTACTATTATTTATGATATTAACAACTAATATTGAGAGTAAATGTCTCAACAAACTTCCCACAGGAGTTATGGGAACATAAATTTTTTAATAAGACCATATGTAGCATAAGTCTCCCTAATAAGACTTATACATAATTTTTCCTAAATTGTAATTATAGTACTTATTTAACAACTCACCAAAAACAATTAGTGGAAATTGCCAACCAAAAAAAAAATTAGTAAGGCCTTATTTGGTTTGTTTTTGGGAGAGTAATTTTAGAGAAAATTTTTCAAAATTTTGTTTAGTTTAGTGATTTTGAAAAAAAATTTCCAAAATTACTTTCTCTCTCCTACCTATCAATCAATCACTTTTTCTTTCTCTTCTCTCATTCTCAATTATTTTTTCTCTTACACACATCTACTCAACTACAATAAAATATCAAATCATTCCAAACTCCCATACTCCAAAACTATTTCCAAAATATACAACCAAATAAACCAAAAAAATTTCTAAACTCTCTCTCTAAAATATTTTTTAAAAATTTATTTCTCAAAACCAAACCAAGCACACCCTAAGTTTTACTACTGATTTAAAATTTATTTTGAAACCATATAATGAATTGTAAATTTCACAAAAAAATTAAACATAGAATTGAATAAAGCCCACATAGCAGTAAAGGTAATTAGGTCCAAAAAAGCAGTTGAACTGAGGTTTAAGTCCAGCCCATGGAAAGAGAAAAAGAAAAAAAAAAAAAAAAAAACTCAATTAGATTTTTTTTTGAAAAAAAAAAAAAAAAGAGAAGGAAAATACTTCAATTTTTTTTTTTTAAAAAAAAATTTATTTGAGGATTTTTATTAAAAACTCAATTGGATTGGAATAAAAATAATAAAATTCCAAATGGATAAAGTAGCCGACGTGTTTGAACCGCTAGATAGTAACTAAAAAGTCCACTAACCTATCCACCGTCGGATCACCAACCACCTGGTCCTACACATTGAAACGGCCTCTAAAAAATGCGTCACAGAGACAGAGCCACTCGCAACACACCACACTGCCGCCATTAACGAACCTCCTCCTCCTCCTCCTCCTCCGTCATCAGCATAAGCAACATGGGTTTCTTCCCATTAATCGTCTGATACAGAATCTTCTTGAACCTTCCGGATTTAAGATAGTTATATTTGTAGAAGCTTCTAAGTTGATCTGTTCCAATGGCAGAGGCCCAGAGATCCACCGGGACTGTGAAGTGGTTCAGCGGCCAAAAGGGGTTCGGATTCATAGCTCCCGATGATGGCGGAGACGATCTCTTCGTCCACCAGACCGAGATCCAATCCGACGGTTTTCGGACCCTCCGCGAGGGCCAGCGGGTCGAATTCATTATCGATTCCGCCGACGATGGCCGGACCAAGGCCGTTGACGTCGTCGGTCTAGCCAGATCTTACCGTACTGGCGGCGGGCGTGGCGGAGGAGAAGGCTCCTTCCGCGGTGGCGGGAGAGGCGGTTTTGCCGAAACTGGCAGTTACGGCGGCAGGTACGGAGGCGGTTACGGCGGCGGCCGCGGTGGTGATGGGAGGACAGGCGGAGGCTATGGTGGCGGCGGAGTGGAGTGTCTGAAATTATCATTTTTTTAAATATCTATATTGTACAAATTTTAAATTCTATGGAGACTTATTTATAAGTCCTTTTTCAGACACTTATGGTAGGCTAAGTCCTGTGTAATTTCTTATAGAGTCTCAAGTCCTATTTAGATAGGAATGTATTCCACAAGATCC